CTAACATACTCATCTCAGAGCAGAGACATTGATTAAGCTGATTAAGCTCTAAGGAAATTAGACAGTTTTGAGAAAACACCTCCTCGGGCTAAGCAACAATGTAAATCTGATAATAGTGCCAAGAGGCACCAGGCAGCCTCTCTCCCCAGACATACAAAAGGTATAAAAAACGAATCCTTTGCTCTAGCTAGTGGGCACCCCAGTCGGGACCCCCTCTCATTTTAGGAGCTGTTACTCTCTGCTCTAATAAACTGTCCTTTGCTGCAGCCTTTGCCTCTCTGGTCCATGTCTCATTCTTCAGTGCTATGAGACCACAAATCCCAGCACGTACACAGACACACACACACACACACACATACACACACACACACACACACACACACACCACATATAAAAAAACCCTGTATCGATAATATCCTAAAACATGCATTTTCATTAATTAGTATTTTTATCTTCTATGGCTCTTGAAGGACACTCTTGGGAAAGTTGAAAAAAATGTGCACTTGAATATTTTTTACTCAATGGTTCAGATGCGGATCCTCTGGCAAGAGATAAGACAACGTGAGTTCCTTATTATGTAGGGTGTTTCAGTTTTTACTTAGCTTCTCTTTTCTTTTTTTTTTCTTTTACAGGAAGATAGTTGCATGACTCAAGATCATCAGCATATGGTTACTTTCGTTTTTGAGAACTAGTATTTAAATTTCTTTTACTTTTCAAACGTAGCACATCTGTAGTTGGAGCTGTGTTGTAAAAACACCAACAGTTTTGTGTTCAAGTGGAAACCTTAAAGAGAGGTGTTGGAAAATATGCCACAAAGCATCCCCTTAGCTACCTTGCCTGGAAGGGTGACAAATGCTGGGAACGGCAACCAAAGAAGTGATGGAACAACACAAGGTAAGGACATTTTCAGTTGTTCTCAGAATGAAGTAGATGTATTAAATAGCAAATTCAGAGTACATAAGATCCACATTCTAAATCTGTTACCAAACTCAGGTTTGGTGCCGCTTGCTGCTCGAACAGTCCAAAACACTAGAGTGGCAAGGGTTGGTGAGGAGAAAAGTGTCCTTTATTCTAGATGCTGGCAGCTAGGGAAGATGGCTGACTCATGTCTAAAAAACCACCTTCCCAGGGCCAAATCTTAAATCTTATTGTCCATAGCCATCTGTGAAAAGCTGCTAGGGGGTTGTGATCTTCGGTCACTCCAGTTGCCTGAGGATTAAAGAAACTGCTCTTTTCAGGTTAGGATGTTTGTTAATTAACATGGCATGGGGCAGCCTTAAAGAAGGGAACAAAGAGGGTTCTCCGGTTAATCAGTGGGGAGAGAAACAAAGAAGAAACAGCTGAATAGCAGGATGGATCAAACTGCAAACTAGCTAAGCTTAGTTACATTATTGATCACCAAATGGAGAATGAATGGTGGAGACTCAGATATGGCATCTGCCTGTGTCCATACACAGGGAAGGGGGAGGGCTCAGCAAGGAAACAATCGCATTGCATCGCATGCTCCTCCCTCCAGGAGAAAGCCAGCTCTCCAGCCCCTGTCCCAAGCCAGACAACTCAATTCCCCACCATTTGTCCCTGCTGCCTTTCCAGCTGCTGCCCCAGCAACTGGAGCTCAGAGTGATTCCATGGGTGGGTAAAGTCCATGTGCAGTCCCTTTAAGAGGAGCACCTGCATTCAGCCTCATTCAATCACAATCTCCACAGGTTTTCACAACCAAACATCATGGGGACTTCTCTCCCAGGCACTGGAACCCTGGGCTGGGGTGGAGCTGGGATCTCTTGCTCCTAAAAGGAAAATCTAACAGGAAAATCTTTCAAAGTTATTTAAATAGGACTCTTTATAGTCAAACTAGGGTGAAGAAGGGAGGAAATGAAGCTAAAAATGTATTAAACACAGCAATCCATGACTTAGGGACTATGGTGAGTTTTAAGCATTTACCATTTAATGTTATTTCAATCTACCAGTGCATTCAACAGTCAAAAATGATTGTTGCAGCTTATATTAGAACATATAAGTCCTCTTTTTTATAATTTAATAATTCTGTCTAAGGTTAGATCAAAGAGTGTTGGGGACAATGAGACCAAATATTATTTGGTAATGAAGCAGGATTTTTGATGTGTGTGTGTGTGTGTGTGTGTGTGTGTGTGTGTGTGTGTCTGTGTACGTGCTGGGATTTGTGGTCTCATAGCACTGAAGAATGAGACATGGACCAGAGAGGCAAAGGCTGCAGCAAAGGACAGTTTATTAGAGCAGAGAGTAACAGCTCCTAAAATGAGAGGGGGTCCCGACTGGGGTGCCCACTAGCTAGAGCAAAGGATTCGTTTTTTATACCTTTTGTATGTCTGGGGAGAGAGGCTGCCTGGTGCCTCTTGGCACTATTATCAGATTTACATTGTTGCTTAGCCCGAGGAGGTGTTTTCTCAAAACTGTCTAATTTCCTTAGAGCTTAATCAGCTTAATCAATGTCTCTGCTCTGAGATGAGTATGTTAGCGAAGACTGGCTTTGAAAAAAGGACTCCTTACAGTTTTATGTTATCTTAAATAACCTCTTCGGAGTTATGCATTCTACCTGGGGACCCCTGGCTTTTTGTTACAGACTTGAAAAAAGGCTTTTTCTCCTCTCCCACCTGAGTTTGTCACTCTGGTAGGCCCTGTAACTTAAACCTATCTGTCCGCTATTAAAATTATTTTCCCCAGCTCTGTTTTGGTTTCTGCCCTAATTCCCTCTACCGTGGCAATTTCACCAACTGTCTATAATTTTCCTATCTCCGTAACAATGAACATATCTGAACCAAAAGATATCTAGTCACTTACAAAACCAGTTAAATTTAACCTTACATGTCTTTTGACAGTATGGATTTATATGTTTTATGTATAAATACATTGGATATATCACACAAATATATAAGTTACTTAATATTACATTGTTTTGTTTTGTTCTGGGAAAGCACCAAAAATTATATTCCAGAAACTGACTTCTGCCTTTGCCAGCCATTTATTTAGCACAGATTTGCTGTGACAATTACAATAATTTCACAAGCAAATAACATACAGGGTACTATCTCTTAATAACAAAAACCAATAACAAGAAATAACATACTTCAAACCAATGACAGAGTAATCATCTCCAGGCAAGGGGAGATGAGGGGATAAAGTCCAAATTTAATATGAGTTGTAGCTTCTTTTTACCGAAAGGTACTCAGAAGACACAGTCATCAACAAAAAGCTGATTGCCAGCTGCCACACAAAAGTAAAAGTTCCCTATTGCTAGGCTGCCTGGATTTTTGCCCCTGTGAATAAGAGAGTAGCCTTTATCAGCAGGAGCTATTGCCCCCAAGGGTCTTGGGAGAGTTTTGGTGAAGGGGAATATAGTCAATAACATTGTAGCCAATTTCTATGGTGACTGATTAGTAGACTTAGTGAGGTGATCACATTGTAAGACATATAAATGTTGAGTTACTATATTGCACACCTGAAACCAATATAATATTGTATACCACCTACACTTAAATAAAAATAATAAATAATATTTAAAAACTGCTTAGCAAAGAGTTGACTCACCCAAAACAAAACCCTCAAATAGTCCTCACAAACTTTCAGTATTTATCATCTAAATGTCCCCTTGACTGCTGAGGTGCTTATCAAGACGATAGATGAAAATGATAACTTGCTGAAATAACTTCCTTCTTTCTTAATCAAAACAACTTCTAAAAAAAGATTTGTTGGGTTTTTTGTCTTTGTGATAAACTAAGATTGAAACAACTTCACTTAGGTCATCAACAAATGGATTTGAAATTATATTAAACCAATACAAAACAAATATGTCATGTACAACATTGTATGTTGTATATATAGATATATAATTTAAAGTTATAAGCACCACTGTAATAGCAGTAACTTAATGTGTAATATTCATTTATTTATTTATTTTGGATTTTATTTTTTAATATTTCCTTTCCATTTAGTGGTATTTCTTTTTTTTCCCTATAGCTGTGAGCTAGAAAATAGGGTATTTTGTTTGACTTTAAATTCATTGGTCATCCTGAATCTTTCCTCTCAACTCTCCTTGGAGATTAGATTCAGAAACTGAGAGAAATTAAGTTGAGTCAGAGCAGTTTCTCTACAGAGAAAATAATTGGAATATTTCAATATTTAGATTATAACAGGGATTCACGTAGAACTACTTTAGTTACACTATGTTAACCAAAGAAGAGCTCAGGCTGTAATAAAGAACAAAAAGCATTTATTTGAGCAAAAGGAGTTGCAAACCTGGAGACACAATTCAGGTAGCAATCTAAATTGTGCTGGAGAGAGACAAAGAAAGGAAGGGTTTCTATAGCCAAGAACCACAAAGTGTAATTCTTTCATGCAAATGAATAATTGCTGGCTAGTCAACAGCGGTTGGCTAGTTCCAGCATGGAACCGAGGGAGGTGAAAACTACAAGCAGGAGGTAAAATTCATATAGGTCCACACAACAGTTGTTGTTTCAGGATTGTTATGGTTCAACCTTGACCTCGGTTTGGCAACTGGATATCAACTTAACACCTGTGAGAACTAAAATGTAAAATGTGCATAGGCCCCACTTCCTTAGTAGCTTCCTGACTCTACTTTAAATAACTCTCTTAGCAACACTTATTTTATTTTCTCCATCATCAACTGTTAATTAAATAGGTTTTTATTGAGCTGCCCTGGGATGTTATCTGTTTTGTACATTCCTTTGTTGAACACGTTATGAGGGCTGAGAAGCTTCTTTGAAATTCACATTTTTCTGTAATTAAAATATAGTTGGCATACAATAGTATATTAGTTTCAGGTGTACAATATGGTGATTTGGCATTTATACACCTTATGAGGTGATCATCACACTAAGTCTAGTACCCATCTGTTAATACTAAATTTACAGTGACAGGTCAACACTTTCTCTTGCTTTGTTTTTTGGATAATTTGTGCAGGGTATAGGTATTGAAGATTTGAGTAAGAGAATAGAAAGGAGGAACTTATAACATGAAAGCTATTTATACTAAGGCTAGAAAACTAGATTTTAGGCCTTAGGAGGAAAGAATTCCAAAAGAACCTGACTACCTACTTACAATAATGAATAGAAAAATGTAATTAAAAATTCCACTTAATATAGCAGTAAATAACCTTCACCTACCCCACATACAATAATTAATATATGGAAAGATGGGTGCACTAATACAAGAAAAAAAAATCATAACAAAAGCTTTCTTTCATTTAATTCCTGTTATAAACCAGACCTGAAAACAGCACATCTGTTGGGTTGTTGGAAAATGCATGAAGTATTTTTCTATGTTTTTTGTTGCAAAAATGCATCATGACTTTTCTGACAACCCAATATATTCTTTAATTTAAAAAAAAGATAGAGTGGTGTTTAATGATGAAGAGATATAGGTAAAATAGGGTAAGAAAATACAATTATATACTATATTTGATTAAGATTTTGAACTTGTTATATTGATAATAATAATACCTTTTGCCCGCTATGCCAGTTCGTGGACAGACAAATAGAATGCCACAGTGACATATTGACTTGAGTCATGGCATGGAAAGGGGAGAACAAGTATTTGTTTTCTTGATACTTAATATTTGAAGAAAACTAATAAAGAATTAAAGAAATTAATAAGGTGATATTTGAAAGGTGATTAAAAACCTCATTAGAAATAACCTGGACTCAAGTTCTGGAAGGATCCATATTTAGTACCAAAAAGGCTAAAAAGATAGATGTATGTTTTGTTTCTCTTCTTTTTGACCTTTGCAATATTAGAGGCAGTTTCTTTCCTAGCAATAATCCATCCCTCCATGTGTACTTCAGGCCACAACCCTTCTAGCCTATACAAGGATTATTCTTTTTAATTTAACCATTCCCTCC